ATAAATGAAGGTAGAATGTTGATCCAAAATTGGCTGCCGAATCATTAAAGCCCTTGTAGAAGAGGTAGATCAGAAGATGAATGATGTTTGTCGGACTGAAGTAGATGGTATGAGTGCCGCTAATTTGCATGATGGATATCGTGCGTTGCTATGCTGCGATGCAAAAATTCGCAGAGCTAGTGTGTGTAAGAGTAAGGACAATACGATTTACGCGTTTTGAATGATGGGTTGGCTGGCTGAATGCGGTCGCTGAGTCGAAACATCAGATATTTGAGGAAAAAAGTGACTAATCCCCTAGCATGAATGCAACACGTCGTTGTGGCATTGAAGGTCTAAGTCTAAAAGGCACGATGGGAGGTGCTGTGTACCCAGTGTTTTGATCCCATTGATCTAAAGTGTCATATCCGCTTTCAATCCACGCTCTCAACTCATGCAAGAATGTTTCTCCACGGTGCCTCTTGTCAAAAATAAATCTCACTCCTCCTTTGAGCTCATCAACATTTTCTCGAAGGTCATATGTCTTTAGAAGATCTACAATAAAGTCGGAGATCTCTTGGTGAGTTCTCTCCTCTCCGGTGGAGATGTCTAGAGGCAAAGGCACAAATGCCATTTGAAACTCGCGGTCCATAAAATCACGGACTCGACGCTGCAAGATGTCGCTACCGGCAAATTCTTGAGGGGTGAACTTGTGAAACGTGCCACCGATGGGATAAGAAAGGAGTCGATAGTGATATATCTTTGTGCGTTCAATATCTCGGCCCATGAAATATACATACAAAGCGCGATCCTGTTGGAAAGTGGAAGAAGTTGGTGGAACCAGGGCCGTCAAGCGACGCACACCAAGGTTGAGGAAGCGATTCATAACTGTGAAAGGTGCCCGACAGTAGGGACATGTGTAGTTTTTATCCTTCCATGTCTTTAAACAGCAATAGTGGAAGTCTTCATGACCACAAGATGGAATTGAGGCGGTCGAACAAACAATTATCTCGCATGTTCGGCAGTCTTCATTCTCATGAGGGTTGGAATCAAGTGACGATAGACAGATCACACATTCTCGGGCCATCTCGTTGGAAACTCTGGTAGATGCCATGTTGAGCTGTGAAGAGATCGTTAAATTGAAAGAATGTGAATCAACGCTTGTGTGGGCGTGAAATTTGGTGAAAAGAACACAAAAGAATTGGCGGGGAAGTTGATTAAATATACCCAGCTTCTTAGTGTATTACTAATATTTCAGGTAACTTAGCTACTTTTAATGGATTCCGCCTGGGTAGCATCGGGTTCCAACATTGCCGATCTAGCCTTGTGTATGCTAGATACCATCGAAGTTATTATCAAAAGCGGAGTTTTACCAGAAAGTATGGCTTGGTAGACCTATTTCTCTGCCCGCAGAAGAGATCCAAAAATCAAGCCTTCCTTTGACGCTATTTATTGCCTAAAATATTTCCTATGAACGGCAGGAGCAATCGTACTCAGATGAGTCGGCAATTAGATGCCCGCACCAGAGATACTCGAAGCACCTTCCAGCATCTCTAAACTCTCCTAAATTTCAATGTGAGTTCAATCCAAGAAGTGAGGACTGGAATAATTAATAATATTCTACGGTAGTGAGTCTGAAACTGCGGATTTAACACAAGATTAGTCAGGTACATTACTTGAAGAACCAAGTATCTCAACAAACGCATTAAGAGATACGAGTAAGAGAATATGTAGAGGGTCTTGCACTGAATATGCCTATTCTATTATTTCTTTTGATAGTCTTTGGTTTCGGCCAACTCCGTAAGGTTTGATGCGTACTCGCTGTGATTCAGTACACCCACCCACCAGGATGGAAAATCAAGCAATTATCTCTATAGCAGGCTTCATTTGAGAGACCCCATACGAATTTTGATCGCATTCTAGAGGATTACTGAACTTCTAACTGGGATTTATACGGTGAATTCATTATATTTAATCATGTAGGAAATCAAATAGCCGATGATTCTAATTATTTCGGTAATCGAGAGTACGATAATCCCATTAAATAAATTCACTTAAGTCTCTAGAGATACCCCTAGTTGGAGACATCATAATGATGTTCAGAAATCAATACCAACTGAAGAGGATACCGCGTCAGGTCCGTTGTCGCAAACTGGTGATGCTTAAATTCCATCAGAATTATCGATGGTGGTCATTATAGACTTTCTTGGTGGGCTATTAAGTTGTTCGATTGGTAGACCCACCTAGACGCTTATGCACAAACAAGGAGGTCAAACCCCGCTTAGGTACCCGAAAATGGGCATTCTCAGCACAAAGGTCTGTGTAATAATCTATTGAGAAGATCTCTCCAATCCATCGATATTACGAATATCGCTCTCATCCAACAATGTTCCATTGTCAAAATTATTCACGTTGGGTACTCTTCATACTCTCGGCACTTATATCACCAGAGATGAAGTAGAGCACACCACGCATTGTGTGGAAAAAGACCCTTACAAAGATCATCCTACCTACACGACGCTAAGCTAATGCAGAATTTCTTGTATCATTGACACCTTGAGTCTTCCGCATCGAATGATTTATATCACTTGAATTTGAATATCGCTGTCTCAAATTCTCTCACGGAGAAAATGTATCAATGTTGTCCCTTCTACAACTCACACATGAAATATTTTTTTGGATTTCTGCAAGAGCACTCTTAAATAGAAGTATATCGAAGAGAAACACTAACCCGATGGGAATCTCTGAAGCACCAAGCCAGGCACTGCTGTAGAGAGTGTTCACACCATCTCATTGGTGGAATAGACCTAGAATATCGATACCTCGTGGTGTTCTCTAGTGTTCCCGTTTGTTTGTAATGATTTTCGATCTAAACAATGCACATAAACGTTTGACATCGAGGAATCTTTGAGTAATTAAGTTCGGCTCTAGTACCAATGAAGGAATTGCTCTTGTTGGTGCGGAGGAGGCTAATGAGTATAATTTTTGTGGATCTAGATTATATTCCGATCCACGATAATTGTACTTTCCGTGTTCATCCCTAACACCGATCTAAATAAGATCCCGTGCTTACAAAATAGAGTTCTAGTGCTCTCCTTAGTTCAACCGTCGTTGTTGAGCAAGGATACGTCAGAATGGGCTACTGCCAAGGTCCCGCAACCGAAAGGATAGTCTTAACTATTAAGCCTAAGCGGAGTTGGACCCCCATATCGGTATTATCCCTGAGAAAACTGAAGTCGAATAAAATTGGACTAGAATACCATTGAATTAGGCTATACCCGACAAGAGCCTGAAAACCGATCTTATGATATATTATATACCTATTCGGGCTAGCTCCTTCCTCTCCCTGCGGTCTAATAGGCTATCTGACAGAAACTATTATCCATGGAAGGAAGTTTCCCACAATGCATGTTCACTCAGAATGCCCTCAATCCGCGATGGTGGAGTAACAGCAAATGGTTTCCAGATAGCTTCACATTCAAATCTTGAACATTGCAATCAATTTAATCATAGTTTTTGTATGTGCAATAAAAATTCAAGTGATAATTTAACGATACTGGTAGATATTCATTTTGACAACGGAAAAAACTAGAGGGCTCTGCACTACCTTCAAGATACCTAGGTAGAGTTTGCACTATTTCGCCTCGCTCGGTAGAAAAAGCGGCAATCGAACTTAGAATTTTCCAGAATAAAGATCCGCTCATTGATTCATCCCAAAGCTCTAAAGCAGGATCGGAAGAAGATGCACTTCATATCCTCTTCCGCAGAGTATACCTTGTAAACCTTCTTGTTTGTTTTGACTTGAGACAATTCATCGATCGAAGTAGTTTGGTGCCAAGAAGAGCCTTGGGGCACATAATAATAAATTCCTAAATCGGATTAGCTGGATTAGTGCAACCGCACAACCGCAGAGGTAAGAAGTTGTCTAGGTAACTCATGGTCATGGCTAACAAGGCATGTACTGAAATCTGCGGTTATGAGGATGTGTGTCTTCGTTGATCTCTTGCTTTTCACGTTATGGATCTAATCATCATTAAGGTTCGACAATCAAGACCTTGAATGGAAGGAAAAGGATAGGAAGATGGCTAGGCACCTCCTACTTCCCCACGTTGTAATGCATTCTGTCGTAAGGAAGCTCTCATCACAAGCTGCAAACTTTATGTTTTAATTATCTGGCTTTTCAATATATTTCTTACATATTCAAGTTCCATCTTCATCACTGGCTGGCATGATATAGAAAAAGTCTTCGATCTTTAGACTAGCTAAACTATAGAAACACATGTGAAAACCCCCAAATATACATACAATCCCAGCCCACAAAACTAATACTGTACCTTGTGAACCCAAAATTACCTATCCCCCAGCTTACGAGAAAAGCTGTACCACCGAAATGAGCAATGAAAAACGATTTTAAAAGATTACTGGCTGTAGAAAGTTGAAACCCTTTACCGCTCGCCTTCCCGGATGGTATCCAATTTTCTTTCTTCTTGCATGCCTACACAATAGGCATCGGGGAGTCTCTTACACTATGTTAGTGATAATCAAAACTATCCACAGAGTGTTGCCACGGCTTGATCAGATACCTAAGGGCAATAGAAAAGCAGAGCCCTCATTGTAAATTAAAAATCGTAATATTCATGAATACTCATTTCATTCCTTTAATTTGATTCAAAGATTATGGGAGTATTGATGATGAACTCTAGAGTTTATACAAATTGGGGGGCTGTAGAGTCTTGGGCCTAGGTCTTGAACTCTCTTAATTTCCTCGGAGTCCTTTGCGAAACTGGACTTTTTACATATTCGAGTGATAAAGATATAACTTACCAGAGTAGAAAGCGATAAAGATTTTGATACCATCAAAATATACAATGCACCCTTTCCACTTCATAAACCCTTTATTTAATGTATTACTATCCTAGGAAAGCAGGAAAAGTTAGCTTACATGTAAAAGAATTACAATCTCAAGACCATTGATTAGGTACTTACATCAGAATCTTTCTCTTTAATCTATGCAACCTCATTTTTCATCTGATATCTTGCTCTTTCTCCCACTCGAGTCCCTTGGAGGATTTCTTGATGTAAGGTTTCTTGATGGATTTCCTCACAAATCGAGAAATTTTAGTAAATTTACTAGAGAACTTTTCGCGCCGATCAGCTTCAGCAGGAGAGGCATTCTCAATACCTTGAATCTGGCCATCTTTTACATTGCCAGCTATCGCCAAGTTAGCGGTCGACTGCTCTAAATCTGCCAACATATATTGGAGGTTGGCTTCATCAAGTCGAACAGAATGGAACTGGGAACGAGAGAATTTGGCTCGTGCTTTCCAGGATCTTAACCGAGAGAAAATACCGCGATCTCTTTTGTTTGGAGAATAATCGAGGCTCTCTACACATTCCGTGACGGTGCATCTTGTGTTGTTATCACCGAGGACCGGGTAAGACTTCACAGAGACAGGAGCAGAAGATAGCGTGACCGATCTGGATATATGTTCCAAATGCGTAACGGAAGAAGGAGTAGTCACCTGTGGCACATTCTGATCAACTGAATGCGCAACAGGCTGTGCTGCGGTTGTGGGAGATGCAGTACTAATAATCTGTGTAGTATTGAAGCTCCCAATGTATTCAGGACTCCATCTCATGTAAGCGAAACTCGGTCCTGATGATCGGTTGAAACCAGGTCTAGAGGGCCTCGCAGGTGGAGATGTTACCGTATTGGAATTGCATGGCTCCTTTTGAGGATAGGTCGCAGCGCGATTCCATTCTTCCAGCGTCTGACAGAAGCTTGTCAGGAACGCATGGGCCGAATGCAAGAACAAATCGGTATAATCGTCCAAAGTCTTTCTCACTATGTATACCGCATAATCCTTCTTCTTCTTCTGTTCCTCGGTGGTATTCTCCATCTGAAGAGTAGCCATTACAACATATTCAAATGAATCCCCGTGATCGGGTACTATTGTAATCTGCTTCAATGCTTGAATCTCGAGTTTTATCCAAGCACGCATGAGACCCTTCGCATCAGGATCGTGTCTAAAAATCTGCTTGCAGATTTCGATGGAGTCAAGGGCTTGCCCTGAGCGAGCAGAATGACAGTACAACGTCTTTTCGTAGACCAATCGCCGAAGGGCGATAAGATCCCCACGAGAGTAAGGAACGTTCTCAGACTGACTTTCTGGGGCTGAAGATAGATACATCTGGTGATCTGTTCTCCGATTCTCGATACATTTTCTGACGTATTCAAGCTCGAGTGGCTTGTCGACAAAACGACCCTCAAGGATAGTCATGCGACGAAGCTTCATAGTGTCTGTATTGCATTTAGGGCACTTTGGATCTTCATAAAATTTATCTTTTATGCAATCAAAGTGAAAAATGCAATTGCATGGGTGCAATACGATAAATTTTGGAGCTTTATAAATATTCCAATGGCATTCCTGACATTGTGTATTGTCATCCGAGCTTTCTTCATTGGTTGGCATATCGTCCTTGGCCGCAACGGAAGGACCTTCTTCGTTGGACAAAGTTTCTTCGTTATTGGAAGTCTTTCTATCAACGAAGAAAAACGCATCCTTATGTCTTGTTAAGTTCGTTTGGATGACACTTTCATGATCTACCCACGGCAGTGAGGTCCGAGACCTAGCTCCATTGTTTTCGACAAGGCGGTGATTCATTATGAGTGTTTGATGGGTATGTTGTTGAACTTTCTACGGAATTATGAGTATCATGCGCAATCAAGCTCTGAACGTTCTACTTACAGATCTTCGTTCCTGCGATTAATGCTTCGGTAGTAACGTGGAAGCAGAATACTGAAGTTGAGGTGGGGAGATTGATGCCAATGATGAGAGGGAAGCAGACAGTGGATGTGAATGATAATGATATGAAGAGATCACAATTGGGGATTAATAGGATGATAGATTTGGTTAATGATCAATGTTAAGGAGTTTGGGTTATTGTCAGGGAGTATACTAAATCAAGAGGTTCGGGTAAAATTCGGCTCGTGTACAACAGTCGATCTATTGGTTTGTCGGAAATCCTTCATACACTTCGAAAGAAATGTGATCGAGTTATGGGAATATTGTGCTGGATCTGAAAGAAGACTTGATTTAATGGAATAAGATAATTGAAATGTAAAAATGTGCTAATTCGTCCCAGAAATGCGGAAGTATACTTGATATGCGGTGTGAATAGAAGTCGAGTTCCTTTCTCGAAACGAGGAGATCAGTATCCAGATTCTATCCGTTATTAGAGCGGCAAGATCCGCACTTGTCATTCGGGTACATGGTCGCTCATGAAAGATGTAGTAGAAGGGAGTTAGCCTGAAAAGGTAAAGGAGGTCCGTTGGCCTGTAGAAGCATGGTCTCGCTCAGCACTAATTCAGTGTACTATAGTCAATCCCTATTTCCTTAAAACCATATCCGTGATAGACTGTAAAATCTAGAGCTCTACATATATACAAGTTCACAGACAATTGCTAGGTAGAAGCAAACTAGTTTTCGGTGTAAAATAAACTTCTCAATTAGTGTATGATTTACGTACCTACGGAACAAACCAATCTTCCATCGCTTATAAGTGACTTAGGGCGGCAAGGATCAATACTTTCTCGATGTGTCCCCCGCACCCCACCGAATAGAGAAAGATAGCTCACCTCTCATGTGAGGTCGGAAACATATTATTAATGTCCCGATCGACTTGTATATGAATTGAGATATCAACATTGATGTCGGATTAAGGAAAATGACCGTGCATGTTAACGGCTGTGGCGTTTTCGGTTATGCAGGGGAAACGGTATCTAATTCGGATCGCGATCGCCAAATAACATCACCAAAAAATATTCACAGTAGTATTATCCCTACATAAAGCAATATTGTGAAAGCATACAGAGCAATCGTCCATTCGGTTGGTGAAAGAAACATGATTTGTTATATTATTCTAAGGGTGTATCAATATAATGATGGATATACTATACTCACTACTTAAGTAACTTGTAGACTATTCTTGATCAGAGGCTGGCTAGTGTTCAATTATGTTCCGCATCGATGGAAATTGACAAGTCGACCCGAAGAGCGTTTTCGATCAATGACGGATCTACTGCCAAGTGTCAGGTCTGCGCGCTATTATCATTCCTGCAATGGGATTCGCTAATGAGTCCGTCGGGAATAGGCGACCATCGGTATTTACCCAAGCTTGAGTTAAATTTTAGCTGGTTCTCGCCGAGTATCTCCTGTAATGCGTGAGTTCTGGATAAGATGATTGCCCTCAGCGCAACGATCCTCTGATCATACCCAATGAAGGCATAGATTAGCAAATCCGAATGAATCATCATGGTTTTCTTAGCTTAGTTATTAGTGGGGAAAGGAAGGTCTCTCATATATAACGACCCTAGCCCCTGTAAGATCTTGAAGAAAAGTTTCAAACTCTTTTTGCATCAATTCGTTGCTGACATATATATGCTCTAGAAGATAATTCTATAAGACATTTTTGTCCTCAATTTGTTCATCACATTCTTCAATTCATCCTCACCGTTAACCTACTCCTTCGATTTGTTGGTTCAGTTTGACCGATTTCGATGTGGGCTTTTAATACAGACATGGGACGATGGACCAAAAACGAATGTTCGGAACGCGTTCTATTATAAGCGGAGATGGCTAGATCGAAATAGGGCTAAAATCCTTTACAATGAGCACCACTGATTGCCCTCAAGCGAGTTCGTCCCACATTCAACACAAGAATGAGAGCAATCAATTGCACCATTATTCTGTTAAGCTGAAGAAGAAGGTTTCCGTATCTTGGCAAGTCAAAACCCAGATTCTTGCTGTGATGGGTTAGGGTGAAAAGATACACGAGCTTGCCAAGAGACTCGTTGTTAGCTTGCACAAAAGATATCTATTGCAACTAGTGATGTTTTCCTATCCAATCTCGGGACAAAACCGGGAATTTGCATTTGCCTGGCCTTGGACTGACAGAAAATTGGTAGTATTTTGTAACTCTTAAATTGCAGAAATAAATTACCAAGTGATATGGATCAAGCTTTGCTACATCCAATCATTACTGTGTGTTCGTATGAAGCGCTTTGAGAAGCAAAACTATAAATACGGCTATTAAAACAGTCGTAATTGAACTCCCTTATTTAGTGAATAGAGCCGATTCACCGTCGAAATATACCCAACCCGAGACACACGAGAACCGGCTGCCCATACATCCAGTTAAGTCAAGTCTTCTCAAAGAACTCTTCTCTTGAAATTTTAAAGGATAAAATCAAGTCGCACATCCACGGATAATAAAACACCAGTACCCCATGTATCACCTCATGAATCGGTAATTTACTTGTGCGGCCATAGAGCAAGAAATATCGAGTTCAGGCGCACACGCCACAAGTCCGTAAATCACCTAAGAGGGGTAACTTGGCATTTATCTAGCGGCAAAGTTGCATTCTTCCTAGAAGCCTGAGTACAAGAGGCATAATCTTTGTTTGCGGTGGATCTTCATACTTTTTTGGACGCGTACATCTAATGCAATCGATCTTCATACTCTTTTCAACGCGCAGTCATCTAATCCAATTGATCTTCTGTTTGAATCTACCTGCCCAAATTCCTTGTCATGAAATCCGAAAGATCTGTGGTCTAGCTAAATACAGAGATCAAACGCTGGGGAAAACAAGTTTTGAATAGAAGATACGTGGCCAGGGCTTCACCTCGTAGATTTTCATAATCTTGGGTATGAAGACTATTTATTTTTTAGTATTCAAAATTCTTTACTGCCATTATTACAAGTTGTCATTGCTTAGAGATTCCCGCAACTTCACAACCATAAGATGTAAAGACATTCTATGTCCATTACCATAAGCGAAAATGACTGTTGCTTAGAAGTCATTTCGAATTCACGATATATACAACAAAGACTTCATCAAGGCCATCTTAGAATCACAATTATCACAAAGACAATCCAGCTGATATCATAAAGAGCCTTCAATGTCGAATTGCTAGGAACCTACTGGTTTATTAGTTGGTAAAGAATTATGCTTCCAAAAGTTTCATTATACGGGAAAGAAAGAATGACAAGAAATTAGACAGGGACCGAGGGAAGAAACAGTAAGTATTGAGGTAAAAAGCAAGAGAATGAAAACCGCAGATAAATTGTTAAAAATTTTAAGGGCTGTGATGGATCTTACCGATCAGGTCTTTGGAAGGGCCATCCATTAGAAAGGTGGTGTCTTTTCCAGAAAATCTGTGACACAGTTTCCATTCTGCTGTATCTTTTGTGCTTTTACTTTCAATTGATAAAATAATAACTCGCTAGCGTGAAATCGTATTTTATATATATATAATGACATGTGTTGCTAGCGTAACTTTGTAATTTGTTGCTGTAGAATTGTGACTTTCTGTGGTATATTGTGAGTTGGTTAAAAGAAAAAGCCTACAGAGGCAAAGAAATCTTATTCGAAGAGACCGGATCTCAATTACGAATTGGATGTGTGGTCTGAAAGGGTGTAAGCAGGCGTGTAGGGAGGGGTGTAGGGAGGGGCATTGATGCCGAGTTTTCACCAGTCTTAGGTACTGTGTTCTTTCAGACAGAAGCGGCTTTAGTATTAGAAATTTTAATTGAGGATACGATGGGTCAATAAGTGCTTCCCCTCGTCCGCATAAAGAATTGCGGAGGATTTTGAGGTTAGCTAGTTATGTCTCAGTTGCGAGTCATAGGTGACGACCTAATTATAGTCCGTCGGACAGTCAACGTTTCTTTGTTTATGGTTTATTGTCGTTGTCGCTCAAAGATGCAGGTTTTATGTTGAGCCTAACTCAGTTAATTCGATCCTTGTGTTAGTCGATAATTTGCAAATACCGAGGTGAGCATCTGGATGATTGCCACTTCATGAATTAAGATAAATAATTTTAAATAAATAGTGTGTCTCAATCTCTTTGGCCTAACCATATAGAATAGTGACGTGATTGATAGAATCCAGTCGCCAGATCCAATCTGGTATTTGGATCTGGTATCGTAAGATCAGAACTTGGCCTAGAAATAAAAAATGGGAAGGGATAATGATGAAGAATTCAGGCAGGAACCGGACCAGACATGGTCAGGCAAACGTTGAGCAAAGATGCGAAGGGCAGAGGATAGAGGTTACCAGAAGAGTGAAGAGTTCATAGGGTGCATGGTCCGTGGTATGCTGAGGAACCTGCTTGGCTGTTGAAAGAGCATTGTGAGTATCCGGATGAAAAAAACTAAATAACAAATCAATCAATTTATACGTTCTACATGCACAGAATCTTACATATTACATAACTGTACTCCGCTCGTATTTGCTGTCCAACTAATGTTAGAATGTCAGAGCCATCTATCTAAGAGGAAAAGAGGTTCGAGGTAAGTGACTTTACATATAAGTATTATGTTTTTATTGGGTATTCTAAAAGCAACTCAGATCTAGGCTTCACAGTGTCTCCTGGTGGGTATTTCCAAGTGTATATCAATCCAGGTATCTCTTCACAAACCAAAATTCTAGACTTCCTGGCGCGTCTCTTTTGCGTTCCTCCCTAAATCTCGCACTCAAGTTGCAGCCCTTACTTTCTCCTCCTAAATCTACTGCCAACCCCTGGTCCACCCTTTGCTCCACTATTCCTCAACTTCAGCCTCTTGTAATTCTGTAGACTGCCTGCTGTAGCTTTGATCTTCC